TCTCTTTCCCGTTACAAACACCATCAATGAGATAAGTTATGTATCACTCTAGATACACAGCACCGCCAACTCTTTGAAGTGAGCAACCATGAAACAGCCTTGCATCACTTGCACTCGTCTCCTTCAGCTTCTTCTTTATAGAACTCACTGAAAATCACTTCACTGACTTGTATCTCAATATTCCACCTTAGTGTCGTCTTTGATTTTTCTCAGAAAACCCTGCAACTTTCCTCTGACCAACAACAAGCGTCAAACCACATGTAAAAACATGTTCACTTCACCCATATACTTCCACAAAAAAAAGTAAGATGCATCAAGATTGTAAGCTTAAGGTAAACAAACTAGTAATTACCCTTCTGTATAGCTTTTCAGGAGTCTCAACTTTCTGATGGTTACCACCTGCATCAGCGATAACATGGAAGCAGAGATGGAAATTTTCAAAATACATTAAATTGCAAGTTCAAAAGAAAAGCGACTACCTTTTGAAGTAGTGTCACGTTTTGCATTCACGACACTAGATGTTGTTTGATTCTGTTTCAAGTAGATCAAAACACTGAGCCAAAAGAATCGCAAAACCGAAAAAAAACAATAGTCAAGTTCTAAACTAAACTACACACCTGAGAGTTTCTATACACCTCAGGCTTAGACTCATTCTCCGCCATCCTCCTCTCAAAGAAACTCTCCTTCCCCGCAGCCTCCAGATGCGACGTCGTGTAAACATCTTCTGACGACCTCGACTTCCCCCTTACACCACCACCTCCTCCTCCTCCTCCCCTAAAATCATTCTCCGATTGATTTCATCTCCCCAAGCATCCCATCCCCCTCCACCACCACCGCCCTAAGCCAACGGAGACTCCGTACTCATCGCCGCAATCGGCGACGGCTCCGTGAAGATCTACTACACGTCTCTCTCGCCTCGTTGTTGAGAAGAAACCGTGAGAAAGAAAAGGAGGTAGATTTAGGTTTAATTAACTAAGGGTACTATAGTCTTTTGCTTATCAAAATTTTGAGTGTAAAGTTGGTTAATGCAAAAGTGAAATATGGTATCATCAAAGTGCTAGTTTTAGCAATTTCCCCTTATGTTTTGGCTGTAGAATTTAGGGAAATTGTAACAAATACCATTTTTCTAATACCATTTTTCATTTATGCATTAACCAACTTTACCTTCAAAATTTTAATAGGCAAAATACAATTATACCCCTAGCTAATAGAACCTAAATTGTTTT